GAGTCAATTCCTTAATTTTGGGAGTCAATTCCCGCATTTTGGGAGTCAAATCCCAGATTTTGAGTGTCAATTCCTTGATTTTGGGAGTCGAATCCCACATTTTGGGAGTCGAATCCCAGATTTTGAGAGTCAAATCCCACATTTTGGGAGTCAATTCCCACATTTTCAGAGTCAATTCCCACATTTATGGGGTCAGATCCCACATTTTCAGGGTCAATTCCCCCATTTTGAGAGTCAATTCCCACATTTTTAATATCCATTCCCACATTTTCAAGCTGAATTCCCACATTTTCAGGGTCAAATCCCTCATTTTCAGGGTCAATTCCCACATTTTCAAGCTGAATTCCCACATTTTCGGTTCAATTCCCACATTTTGGGAGTCAATTCCCTCATTTTCCCAGTCAATTCCCACATTTTTTGGCTCAATTCCCACATTTTCAGGGTCAAATCCCACATTTTGCCAGTGAATTCCCACATTTTCAGTCTCCATTCCCACATTTTCACGGTCAATTCCCACATTTTCAGGCTCCATTCCCACATTTTCAGGGTCAATTCCCACATTTTCAGGGTCCATTCCCACATTTTCAAGTTCAATTCCCACATTTTCAGGCTCAAATCCCACATTTCCCTTCCCAACCCTTCCCTCCCCTCAGGATCTTTTCCCTCCCCCTCCCATAAAACCCTTTTCCCGTCTCTTCCCGACCTTTCCCGCTGTTCCGGTTGGGAATTCCTGGGATTTGGGTTCGGATGAGGGCGGCCACTCTCTCCGTGTCCTCCCGGCGCGTGCAATAAACCAGGATGGAATCCAGGGAACCGAAACGCTCCCCCCGGAGCAGGGACAGCAGGGCCTGGGGGGAACAGTGGGAGGGAATTCCCAGATTATTGACAGGGAATTCCCACATTTGGAGAGGCAATTCCCACGTTTTCAGGGTCAATTCCCAGATTTTGAGAGTCGATTCCCACATTTTCAGGGTCAAATTTTGAGTCAAATCTCTCAATTCGAGAGTCAAATTCCCACATTTTCAGGGTCAATTCCCTCATTTTAAGAGTCAATTCCCAGATTTTCAGAGTCAATTCCCAGATTTCGAGAGTGAATTCCCTCATTTTCAGGGTCAAATCCCTCCATTTGAGAGTCAAATCCCACATTTTCAGAATCAATTCTTGGATTTTCAGAATCAATTCCCTCATTTTCAGAGGCAATTCCCACATTTTAAGAGTCAATTCCCAGGTTTTGAGAGTCAATTCCCAGATTTTGGGAGTGAATTCCCTCATTTTGAGAGTCAAATCTCTCCATTTGAGAGTCAAATCCCACATTTTCAGAATCAATTCCCACATTTTCAGGGTCAAATTTTCAGAGTTGAATCCCAGATTTTTGAGAGCCAATTCCCACATTTTCAAAGTCAATTCCCACATTTTCAGAGTTAATTCCCACATTTTCAGAGTTAATTCCCACGTTTTCAGGGTCAAATTTTGAGAGTCAAATCCCAGATTTTGAGAGTCAGTTCCCAGATTTTTTGAGAGTCAATTCCCACATTTTAAGAGTCAATTCCCACATTTGGAGAGTCAATTCCCACATTTTAGGGTCAAAACCCACATTTGGAGAGTTAAATCCCATGTTTTGAGAGTCAGTTCCCAGATTTTTTGAGAGTCAATTCCCACATTTTTCAGAGTCAATTCCCACATTTGAGAGTCAATTCCCACATTTTTCAGAGTCAATTCCCACATTTCCAGAGTCAAATTTTTAGACTCAAATCTCTCATTTGGAGAGTAAAATTCCACATTTCCAGGGTCAATTCCTTCCTTTTCAGGGTCAAACTTTGAGGGTCAATTGCCAGATTTTGAGAGTGAATTCCCTCATTTTCAGGGTCAAATCCCTCATTTTCAAAGTCAATTCCCAGATTTTTGAGAGTCAATTCCCACATTTTCACAGTCAAATTTGGGGAAACAATTTCCAGATTTTGAGAGTCAATTCCCACATTTTCAGGGTCAAATGTTGAGAGTTGAAATCCCAGATTTTTAAGAGTCAATTCCCAGATTTTAGAGTGAATTCCCACATTTTCAGAGTCAATTCCCAGCTTTTGAGAGTCAATTCCCACATTTTCAGGGTCAAATTTTCAGAGTCAAATCCCTCATTTTGAGAGCCAATTCCCACATTTTTCAGAGTCAATTCCCACATTTCCAGGGTCAAATTTTGAGAGTCAATTCCCTCATTTTCAGGGTCAAATCCCACATTTTCAGAGTCAATTCCCCCATTTTCAGAGTAAAATCCCACATTTTCAGAGCCAATTGCCACATTTCCACCATCAATTCCCTCATAAAACCCCCTCCCTCTCTCCCGCCGTTCCCTGCTCCTGACCCAATCCCGGTCTGTGTCCATGGACACGGAGAGCCGCAGGTTTTCCGGCACGGCCGCCGAACGCTCCGGGATCCCTTGTTCCGGCGGAATTCCCAAATGTTCCGCCACATCCCGCGCCGTGGCCGCCGTGGCCGTGGCCGTCAGGCCCAGGAAGCACCGGACTCCCCAACGCTCCCGGAGAACCTGGAGGGGGGAAAATCCCGGGATTAAAAAAAAAACAGGAAATGGGATTTTCCCATAATTCCCTACGATTTTTATGTAAACTGGGGTATAAGAAGAAAGGAAGAGAGGTTTTTGCCCCTCTTTCCTTCTGGTGGCTTTGGAGGTGTGGGTTCCCTGCTGTTGGTTCTGTCGGGTTGGGGAGTGAGGCCTGGTGAGGCCTGGTGAGGCCTAGTGAGGCCTAGTAAGGCCTGGTGAGGCCTGGTGAGGCCTAGTGAGGCCTGGTGAGGCCTGGTGAGGCCTGGTGAGGCCTAGTAAGGCCTGGTGAGGCCTAGTGAGGCCTAGTGAGGCCTGGTGAGGCCTGGTGAGGCCTGGTGAGGCCTAGTGAGGCCTAGTGAGGCCTGGTGAGGCCTAGTGAGGCGTAGTAAGGCCTGGTAAGGCCTAGTGAGGCATAGTAAGGCCTGGTGAGGCGTAGTGAGGCCTGGTGAAGCCTGGTGAGGCCTAGTGAGGCCTAGTAAGGCCTGGTGAGGCGTAGTGAGGTCTGGTGAGGCCTAGTGAGGCCTGGTAAGGCCTGGTGAGGCCTAGTAAGGCCTAGTGTGGCCTAGTGAGGCCTAGTAAGGCTTAGTAAGGCCTGGTGAGGCCTAGTGAGGCCTAGTAAGGCCTGGTGAGGCCTAGTGAGGCCTAGTAAGGCGTAGTGAGGCCTGGTGAGGCCTGATGAAGCCTGGTGAGGCCTAGTGAGGCCTAGTGAGGCCTAGTGAGGCCTAGTGAGGACTAGTAAGGCCTGGTGAGGCCTTGTCGACCTCTGGAGACGGAGGTTGCCGGCGGTTGTTCCAGCGTGACTTTCTGTTGTTTCAAGGAGAGTAGTGAGATATTCTTTGCTAATTCTTTTAGTTGCCAGATCTTGAGCTAATTTCCCCGCTTCCCGTGGTTTTTCCCTGACCTTGCAGATGCGTAGGTAGGCCGGCCGGAAGTTGTGGGACCACTGGGACACACAATGAGCCTCATCCAGGCAGGCGAAGGCCACGGGTGGGAGCTGATCCCGGCCCGGCAGGAATCCCGAGCCCAATCCCGAGCCCACCAGAGCTTCCGGAGACAGGAGCAGCACCTGCACCTTCCCAGCACGGACCTGCAGGAAAGAGGCGGGAATTAGGCCTGGGAATTAAGCCCGGGAAGCTCCGACCTCTGTTTTTAGGAGAAAGTAAAAAAAAATCACGTTTTGGCCTCATTTTTCCAGGTCAAATCCCTCATTTTCAAGGCCAAAATCCACATTGTCCATTTTTGGGGGCAAAAAAATTAGAATTTTAGAGTCTAAAATCCACATTTTTGAGCCCAAATCCCTCCTTTCCAGGCCCAAAATCCCTCCTTTCCAGGCCCAAATCCCTCCTTTCCAGGTCAAAATCCCTCCTTTCCAGGCCCAAATCTTTCCAGGCCCAAATCCCTCCTTTCCAGGCCCAAACTCCTCCTTTCCAGGCCCAAATCCCTCCTTTCCAGGCCCAAATCCCTCCTTTCTAGGCCCAAATCCCTCCTTTCCGGGCCCAAATTCCCATTTTTAGGCCCCAAAACTTCATTTTTGCAACCGAATCCCTCATTTTTCCGGGTCAAAATCCCTGTTTTTTGGCTCCAACCTTCATTTTTAGGGTTTCAACCCCCATTCCTGAGACCATTTCTCCTGTGGGAAAAGCGGGATGAGGTGGGAATTATTCCCGGGAAGCCTCGGGGAGGGAGGATTCGGATCCTCACCTTTTCCATGACGGATTCCCGCTGGGATCGGGACATGTTGGAGTGGACACAGACGGCCTTGAGGCACCATGGGAGCCCAGAAACCTGGAATGGGATCTGGGATCAGATGGGTGGGAAAAGCAACTCCGGGATCCTCCATCCAAACCCGGAGATCCGGATCCAACCCCGGATCCAAGCCCGGATCCAACCCCAGATCCAAGCCCAGATCCAATCTGAGATCCAAGCCCAGATCCAAGCCCGGATCCAACCTGAGATCCAACCCCGGATTCGACCCCAGATCCGACCCCGGATCCAACCCCAGATCCAACCCCAGATCCAAGCCTGGATCCAAGCCCAGATCCAACTCTGGATCCAAGCCCGGATCCAACCCTGGATCCAAGGCCGGATCCAACCCTGGATCCAACCCCGGATCCAACTCCAGATCCAAGCCCAGATCCAAGCCCGGATCCAACCTGAGATCCGACCCCGGATCCAACCCCAGATCCGACCCCGGATCCAACCCCAGATCCAACCCTGGATCCTACCCTGGATCCGACCCCGGATCCGACCCCAGATCCAACCCTGGATCCAATCCCGGATCCAACTCTGGATCCAACCCTGGATCCAACCCCAGATCCAAGCCCAGATCCAACCCCGAATCCCATTGGGATGCAGTTCCATCCCCACCACTCTCCGTGTCCAGCACTGATCCCTGGGGACACCCCTAGTGATGGATCCCAATGGGATGCAGCTCCATTCCCCCTGGGGACACCCCTGGTGCCCGGATCCCACCTGGATCCACCTCCATTCCCACCAGTTTCCATCCAACACTGGGACAGCACCAGTGCCCAGATCCCACCTGGATCCAGCTCCATCCCCAGCACTGATCCCTGGGGACATCCCTGGTGATGGATCCCAATGGGATGCAGTTCCATTTTCCCTGGAGACACCCCTGGTGACCAGTGACTGGATCCCAATGGGATCCAGCTCCATCCCCACCACTCTCCATGTCCAACACTGGGACACCATCAGTGACTGGATCCCAATGGGATGCAGCTCCATTTTCCCTGGGGACACCACTGGTGATCCCAGCTGGATGCAGCTCCATCCCCACCACTCTCCAGGTCCAACACTGGGACACCCCTGGTGATCCCACCTGGATCCACCTCCATTCCCAGCACTGATCCCTGGGGACACTCCTGGCAATGGATCCCAATGGGATGCAGCTCCATTCCCCCTGGATACACCCCTGGTGCCCGGATCCCACCTGGATCCAGCTCCATCCCCACCACTCTCCATTCCCACCACTGGTGACCAGTGACTGGATCCCAGCTGGACGCAGCTCCATCCCCATCACTCTCCAGGCCCAAAACTGGGACACCCCTGGTGACCAGTGCCCGGATCCCAATGGGATGCAGCTCCATCCCAGCACTGATCCCTGGGGACACCATCGGTGCCCGGATCCCACCTGGATTCACCTCCATTCCCACCACTCTCCATCCAACACTGGGACACCACTGGTGCCTGGATCCCAGTTGGATGCAGCTCCATTCCCACCACTCTCCAGGCCCAACACTGATCCCTGGGGACACCCTTGGTGCTGGATCCCAGCTGGATGCAGCTCCATCCCCACCACTCTCCAGGCCCAAAATTGGGACACCACTGGTGACCAGTGACTGGATCCCAACGGGATCCATCTCCATCCCCGCCCCTGATCCCTGGGACCCCCCTGGTGCCCGGATCCCACCTGGATCCACCTCCATTCCCACCACTCTCCATGTCCAGCACTGGGACACCCCTGGTGCCCAGATCCCAATGGGATCCAACATCATTCCCATCACTCTCCATCCCCAGCACTGATCCCTGGAGACACCCCTGGTGCCCAGATCCCAATGGGATGCAGCTCCATCCCACCACTCTCCATGCCCAGCACAGGGACAGCCCTGGTGACCAGTGCCTGGATCCCAGTGGGATCCAGTTCCATTCCCACCACTCTCCATGTCCAGCACTGGGACACCCCTGGTGACCAGTGCCTGGATCCCAGTGGGATCCAGTTCCATTCCCACCACTCTCCATCCCCACCACTAATCCCTGGAGACACCCCTGGTGATCCCACCTGGATCCAGCTCCATCTCCACCACCCTCTGGGCCCGGGGACATTCCGGGCTCTCCCGGCACTTTCCAGCCAGGAAAAGCTTCCTGGATATTCCATTGGTGGTACCTGGTCATCCATGAGGGACACGAGTGGGGACACGACGAGGGTCAGGGCTCGGCGGTGCCGCTGGAACAGGAGAGCTGGGAGTTGGTAACACAGGGATTTTCCCGTTCCCGTGGGTAACACAACCAGGGTGGATAATCCTGAGGGAAAGGGGAAAATCAGGAATTCCTGGAAGCCTGAATGGGGTGGGAATGGTTGGGGAAAGAGGATCCAAGCCTGGATCCAACCCTGAGATCCAATCCTGGATCCAACCCCGGATCCAACCCCAGATCCAAGCCCGGATCCAACCCCGGATCCAAGCCCGGATCCAAGCCCAGATCCAACCCTGGATCAAACCCCGGATCCAACCTCAGATCCAACCCTGGATCCAACCCAAGATCCAACCCCAGATCCAACCTGAGATCCAACCCCGGATTCAACCCAAGATTCAATCCCGGATCCAACCCCAGATCCAAGCCCAGATCCAACCCCGGATCCAACCCCGGATCCAACTCTGGATCCAACCCCAGATCCAATCCCAGATCCAACCCCAGATCCAATCCTGGATCCAACCCCAGATCCAAGCCCGGATCCAACCCCAGATCCAACCCTGGATCCAACCCCAGATCCAAGCCCAGATCCAACTCCAGATCCAAGCCCGGATCCAACCCTGGATCCAATCCCAGATCCAACCCCGGATCCAACCCCGGATCCAACCCCAGATCCAAGCCCGGATCCGTTGGGAAGCAATTCCCACCACAGAGGATCCTCATGACGGCCGTGGCCTGTCCCGGTCGGAATGAGGAATATCCCAATTCCCGCAGCGCTTCCAGCACCTCCTCCGGGGGATCTGTGGGATGGAGATGGTTTGGAGCTCCAAGTCCCCAAATTTACCACAAGAAGTTTCCCTCCCTCCCAAAAAAACAAGGGAGAAGAGGGAAAAAAAACCAAGAGAATGAAAAGAAACCAAGAGAGAGACAGATTAAAGTAATATATTTATATGTATTATACTATATATATATAAATATAAAAATATATTTATAATATATATGCATTTTATATAAAAATATATAAATATACTTATATACTTATATATATTTATATATTTATATATATCATACTATATGCACATAAATATATATAAATATATTTATAATATATGCATGTATATATATGTATATTTATATTTATATAATTATATCTATACATTTATATGCACATTTATTTTTATATTTATATGTTATGCTATATATATTTTAATATATATAAAATAGATTTAATAAATATATATACATTTATATATAAATATGTAAATATATTTACAATAGATAAACATATATATTATACTACATATAAATATATAGAAATATATTTATAATATATATGTATATTTATATACAAATACATAAATATAGTTATTATATATTAAAATATATTATAAATATATCTATACTTATATTGCACTTATATACAATTGAAATATATATATAATATATATGTATATTTGTATATATTTATACATACTATAGTATGTAAGTAAAACATATAAATATATATTTAATATATTTGTGTATTTATATATAAATATGTAAATATATTTATATGTATGCTTACATATATCTTACTATATATATAAAAATATAAATATATATTTATAAAATATATGTGTATTTCTATATAAATATATATACGTATATATTATACTAAATATAAAAAATATATATAGAAACATACTTTTAATATATATATGTATATTTATATATGAATGTATAAATATATTTATAATGTATATATAAATATATCATAAATATGTTTGTACTTATATTACAGTTGTATACAATTGAAATATATAAATATATATAAATATATATATATATATATATATGACTTCCAAAGGAAAAGGGAAAGGGAAGGAGGAAGGGGAAAAAAAGGAACAAAAACCAAAATAAAATATACACAATCACTGGCCCAAGATCTGGCAACTAAAAGAATTAGCAAAGAATATCTCACTACTCTCCTTGGGACAACAGAAAGTTGCACTGGAGCGACTGCCGGCAACCTCCGTCTCCCAAGGTCGGCAAGGCCTCACCAGGCCTCACTAGGCCTCACCAGGCCTCACTAGGCGTTACTAGGCCTCACTAGGCGTTACCAGCCCTCACTAGGCCTCACCAAGCCTCACTAGGCCTCACCAAGCCTCACTAGGCCTCACTAGGCGTCACCAGGCCTCACTAGGCCTCACCAGGTCTTACTAGGCATTACTAGGCCTCACCAGGTCTTACCAGGCCTCACCAGGTCTTACCAGGCCTCACCAGGCCTCACTAGGCCTTACTTGGCCACATCTGACCTCACTAGGCCTTACTAGGCCTCACTAGGTGTCACCAGGTCTCACTAGGCCTCACCAAGCCTTACTAGGCCTCACTAGGCCTCACCAGGACTTACTAGGCCTAACTAGGTCTCACTAGGCTTCACCAGGCCTCACCAGGCCTTACTAGGCCTCACCAGGCCTTACTAGGCCTTACTACGCCTCACTAGGCCTCACTAGTGCTCACCAGGCCTTACTAGGCATCACCAGGACTTACTAGGCCTTACCAGCCCTCACTAGGCCTCACCAAGCCTCACTAGGCCTCACCAGGCCTTACTAGGCCTCACTGGGCCTCACTATTCCTCACTAGGCCTCACCAGGCCTTACAAACTGGTCACCAAGGAAGGCCCAGACCAAACTACCACAGAGGTGGAATCCGTGGAGACGGCGGCGGCCTCCGGAGGGAGAATTCCCGCCTGGAGTGGCCGCTCCCGGTGGGTGGTACCTGGCACGGCCCCGGCCGGGCCCGGGGTGTAAAGCGGCTCCACGGGCGCCGGG